GAGGGCTCCGCAGAGCGCTCGCGTGGAGGGAGGGCGGAGCCTCTATTGTGCCGGGGCCGCGGAGATGCAGCCAGTGACGGCGCGGAGGAGGAGGACCGGGAAGCGCACGGCGCTGGGGCGGAGGGGCGCCCGCCGACCCCGCCCCCCACCCGGGCTCACTGCCGCCCGCGCCGGCCCGGGGTGACGTCCGAAGGGCGCTCCTTTCCTTTCATCTCACCGCAGATCCTGAGTGGAGAGAAGTTACCCCGAGCCGGGTCCCTGAACTTCGGGGGTCTCCTGTGCCCATTCTCGCCAAGAGGAGCGAGCTTCTGGGTTGGGGACAGGCACCGAGCGCTCGCTGCAAGCGTGAGCCAGTGCGGATCTCGGCGTTTTCTCTTTACTGCACCTGGGGCAGGAGACGAGGCGCGTTTGCGCTCCCTGGGCGTTTCTTTTCCCTGCCTTGACTTTGCGCGAGATCCCTCTGGCGGCTTTGAACTTAGCGCCTCTGGAAGTTTGCTTGGCTGCCATAGCGTTGTAGCCTAGCAATACCTCCACCCAGAGGATAACTATTGAACTCCCTGCTGGAGTCTGTCCTGAGTTGTGTAAATTTTGCTGTGACTGTAAATTTCTGACGCTCTGCGTCCCCGTGGAGAAAGTTGCTGCCTGAAAATCAAACGATTGCCAAAGGGAACAGCTATTACTATCTCTGAGGCTTGGGACAAGTCTCCGGTCTCTGTTACCAGACGATCTCTAAGAGTGTGTTCGCTTTCAACAGTGTGCGATTATGTTACTATGCCCTTTAATTAGCGTCCTGTTTATGAGGCCACTAGGAAGGTGAACAACGTGTGAATTTAAGGAAGGGCATTGTGCCCCCCGGGACAACTGTCATTCTAAAATACTGAAAAGAGCCAGGCCCCTTCAAAGACGTAAAAGGTATTATGCATCCTTGAGAAATTCAACCACCTTGCCCCTTATGCTAAGGAATAAGGGTTGTAATAATCTAAGTAATAAACTAAGGAGACTTCAGCTCGTATAAATTATGATAGCTGACCGAAGTACAATAATAACCCTTATCAGTATATTTTAATAGTTAAAACTCATTTTATGGACAAAAATCCAAGGGTTAGAGTGTCTGGGTTTGTGGGAATGTCACGCACACCACCTCTATGTAAATTATCAAATCTTTTGTGAAACTAGATGGTGGTAAACACCTATAAAATGTAGTTTTAAATTCGATTAAAATAAATGTTGAATGTTGGTTAAGTGCAAGCTAGACGTGTAGTGGGAAGTTGAGATAGCCTTTGTCTTACAGAGAAGTGGGGTGGGAGGAAGGACGTAAGTGGACCGTGCACCCAGATGGTAAGGCAGAGTGAGAGCACATCCCATGGGGATTAAAGAGGAATAGGTCGCTTCTAGTTGAAAGGTCAGTGAAGATTTCCTGGGACAGTGACACTGAAGATAACTGGGATGATGGGGAGGTTTCAACAAGGTAGTAGATAAATCAAGTCAGTGGAGACAAAAAAGAGCAGCCATTCTGGACAGAGACACCTGAATGTGCATGTTCAGACCTCAGACTGCTGCTCACTTCTCAGGAAAGCCTTCCCTGACTCCACCACCAGAGTAATTCCTCTATTATGTGCTCCCATAGTTCCATGTACCTCTTAACAGAATTATGGGAGTTAGATATTTATACTCCTTTGTGGATTGTTTCAGTGGTGCCTGTCTTCCCCCACTAAACTGTAAACTCCACTAGAGCAGGAACTTTGTCTGGTTTTTGTTCACCATTACCTCCTCAGAGATTCAGTGCTTGGAACAAAGTGGACACTAAATGAATATTGGTTAAATGAATATTGGTTGAATGAATGGGAACTACAAATAGTCCAACTGGACATACTCCAATTACCTTCATAAACACCATCTTTGTATCCATTAGGGCGCATTTGACTGCAAGTAACAGAAAATCCTACTAGCAATAGCTTAATCAAATATGCATGTATTTTTCTCCCACTCTAAGAAGACTGGAAGTTGGCAGTTTGAAATTTGGTTCAGCAGCTCAGTGATGTCATCAAGGACTCAAACTCTTCATTTTCCACTCCATTATTCTTAGGGTATTGGCTTTTCAATCTAATCATAATTGATTAAAGCCAGTCCCAACTACCCCTTTGCCAGACATTCAGCATCCCAGGTTAGAGCTAGGAACAGCCATATGATTCAGTTCTGGCCAATAGAATAAGATAAGTCTGCAGGGAGTTTCTGGAAATGATATTTTGTTCCCAGATAAAAGAAACGATTAGGAGAGAGAAACTTCCCAGTGTTATCCTTTCCCCACTTCTTGTCTGATTATGGTCATGGTGCCTGGAGCTGTGGCAGCAATCTTAGGACCATGAGTCCCTTTTCCTATTGAACTAAAATATCTCCTTTTAAAGTCCACTTTTAAAGTCTCTTTTTAACATTCAGGCTGATTGTCAAACACAGAATATGTCTGATACATTTCCCACTAAGAGCTTTTTTTCTTTTTCACTTAAAGATAGAAATTACCTTATAAATATCCTATTTCTCAAGCTAACTATGCCCACTTTCTTCATCTTTTGTCTACATTTTATTCACCTGTTTCTCAGATCACATGGCCTTCCAGACCCTCCATTATTCTTGTTATTTTCTCTGTGGAAAAGCTCCAGTTTGAGTAGATGTTAGAGCATCTTGAAACCATTTCTTCTTTTTTCTGGGCACTGTTATTTTATTAACGCAGCCCAAGATTGCCTTAGTTTTTTTGGCAGCCACATTGCACCAATGATTCACAATGATTTATTTTTTAAACGTAGTTTCTTTTTTTAATACGAATTTTATGCTGGTTTTCTCTATCCTGTGCTTTCCAGCTGTATTCTTTTTTTTTTTTTTTTTTTAACCCAAGTACAGGCTTTACATTTTTACCCACTGAAGAGTATGATGGTTTTGGCCCATTTTTTCATCCTATTGAAGGCATGCTGTTTTTGCTTTTGTCCCAGCTTTGGGTAATTTCCAAATGTAATAAATATAGTTTCCACCTTAATTCAAACGATTGATTTTAAAGAGCCATGTTCATTGCAGTAGGGCCAGATTCAAGAGCCCTAGAGTATGATGGTTTTGGCCCATTTTTTCATCCTATTGAAGGCATGCTGTTTTTGCTTTTGTCCCAGCTTTGGGTAATTTCCAAATGTAATAAATATAGTTTCCACCTTAATTCAAACGATTGATTTTAAAGAGCCATGTTCATTGCAGTAGGGCCAGATTCAAGAGCCCTACACCCATAATAGGAAAATTTTTCCTTATTGATATTAACCTTTTTGGTGTGTGACTGTTCAGGTAGTCAGAGGTGTTGGTGCCCAGACCACGTCTTCAAGCATTTCTCAAGATACTTGTGTTGCCTACCTTTCAGAAATTAAGATGCACTGTTCATGGCATTCCTTCCATCTGCCAGTCCAGTAAACCTGATCTGAAGACCCTAGGATGAGCTTGGTTTGGCTTTAGAGCATCCAAGTTGATGTACTGTAAACTTCCTGCATCCTTTGCTAAGAGCCTATATATCCCACTTTACTCGATCCTTACCACATTCGTGTTAAATAAGTATCGCTTTCCCTGTTTAACAGAGGAAGTCACTGAAACACCAAGACGGTGATGTGTATGATGGCTACCCTGCACTGAGTGCTTACTGTGTGCCAGGCACCATTTGGTGTTCAAAAAAACCCCAAGTAGGTGGTATCAGTCCCTCTTACAAATGAGAGAACAGGAGAGAGCAATATACTGTGGAAATGTTCAAAGAACAGTCTCCAAAAGCTCTAAATGTGCCACTTCAGCTACCTGAGACCCAGGACCTCACCAGTTTTGGCTGGCCAGCAGGTTGCTGGATTCTGGGGATCCCTCAGCTCCCACATCCCCCATCCCTCCCCAGCCAAGTTTGCTTCTGGCAAGAGCATCTGTTTTCCAGTTTACCTAGGAGCCTTCTAGCTTTGCCTGTGTGTCGAAAACCAAGGCTTCA